ATATAACATTAAAAAAAATGTAAATACAATATTTAATTAAAAAATTTTCGTATATATATATATGATTTTTTTGCATGAATACGTATAATATGAAAAAAAAATACATAGGGCAAAAGTGTAAAAAAAATTATAAACTTAAAGGTAAAAACGTAACAAAACTATAACTTAAGGGTTTTTGCGAAGTTAATATAATGGTAACCTGTTATCACCGGTAAAAGGGTAAAACCGAACATTTTTTGGAAAATGTTAGGGTAAAAACGGACATAAAATTCAACTTTAGGCAAAACCGACAAAACCCTGAAAACTTGAGGGTTTTTATGACATTAGCCCAAAAATTTAATTAAAAATAACCATAAAATGACATGTGGCCAACTCAATGAAAATGTGACATGTAGCAAAAAGATTTTCATTTATTAGATGAGATTTACATGGCGTTTTATTCATTATTTAATAAACAAAGATGATTATAATTGTTAATAACATCAACCATAGTCCATATTGATATTTATAAAGACCCCCCAAAATCATCATATGAAAAGATCCATAAATTAAAAACGAAAGATGCCTACAATTTATACTCATGTACATAGTACATACACATGAAGCAAAGCATCAACACCACACGATTGGTAATGGTGGCGGTTCGACTTGTATTTCTACAATGTGAGTTGAGCTAAACTAGCAATAAATTACAAGAGAAGAAGAGATCAAACAAACACTAGAATCTAGATGATGGATTGGATTGGATTGGATTGGATGGAAAGCAAGAAATACCATACCATACCATACCATACCATGTTATGTTATGTTGTAGTGGATGCTTGTTTTGGGGTTTTAACAGCTCCACCTTCTTCTTGCTGATTGTCGTCGTCTGTTACATTGGCTAGTTTTGTAAGTTCATCTTGGATCATCAACTTTATGGTCGCCTTTCTTGGTGTGAGGTCTGTATTGAATCGTTTACCTGGAGATTAAGATTAAGATTAGGTTACTTCCGGAGCATATGATATGCACTATGCAGTTAGTTACCAGTTATAAACAAACTTACCAAGCAGTTTGAGGATATCTGTGAAGGTTGCCTGCAAAATCAAAAAATTAATTGTGGAAAATGACATTAAATATCCTGTTAAAAGCAATTTCTATTTGTAACTGTAACAAACAGGCAGCTTCTCACCGTATTGAAATCGACTTGTTTAAGGATCACACATACTGCGGCTTTCAGTTCATTGTCGCTAGGCTTTTGTTTCTCCTCCTTCATTGTCTCTGTCACAGCCTTTTTCCCTTTTTTATAGAATAAGTCACCAAAAAGGTTCATCAACTTATTTTCTTTGAAACCATGTAGAAAAATAAACATTTAGGAAAATAAAAATCATATTTATTCATCCGCACCAGTTTTCTCTTTAGAAATCGAAGGCTTCTCCTCGTGACTTTTCTTCTTCCTTGAGGTTGGTAGTTGATCCTTGTTGGATTTGGATGCTTTCTTTTGGGTTTGGGTTTGTTTTGATTTATTAATCGAAGCCGAATCCTTTTTAGAAGAAGGTTTTTTCGAAACCCCCCGTAAAAGTTTACGCTTCTTCTTACTGCCCCCTTCCCCTTCCCCAGATTCACCTTCACTTTCAGACTTCTCTGGGCCACCATTCACTTTCTCATGTTCCTCCTCCTCCTCTTCCTCTTCCTCTTCTTCAGAGCCCTCTGCACTTTTACTTTTCTGCTTCTACAATAACAAACACCAATAAGAGAAAGGGAAACCCACCCACAACTACTATAAACTATATACCATAAACCATTGCCTTTATTATTATGTTTAGGCAACTTTGGGGGTTCATGTTTTTCTCAACAAGACAAACTGAAACTACCTTTGAAGAAGTTGATGCGCTTTTCTTGCGTTTGCTTCCTTTGCTTGGCTGCAGAAGAAGAATATATATACATAAAAAGAGAGATTATAATATAATATGGTATATTCAAATGCAATCAATACCTGTTCTTTCTCTGAAACTAACTCACTAGTTGTGATATGAGGAAGCAACAAAAAATCTATCAGCTTCACAACAACATCTTCCTGTGTGCATGCAAAATAGACATCATGTTGCTTTGCTTTGCTTTCACCACAAACAGCATCATGTTACTTATCATGTCCAACGAAAGTGAAACAAACCTTTTTTGCACTGGTTTTCACAATTGGTATGTCAAGCAGATCACAAAACTCAAACAACTTCTCCTTGTTATACTTGTCAAGCTTTTCTTGCACTTTAGCTTTTTGCTTTTCCTGCAATAATTAATTTTTTTTTAGACCCTTCATCCCTTGACCCTTGCCATGCCATCAGAACTTGCTTTACTATATAACACTTCCATGCACGTTTGTTTGCTTTTTATTAGTAATGGTTTTTATGAATCTAACTTTATTTGATATACAATGCTTCTAGGCTGGCTTTTCCTTTATCAAATCGCCTAGGCAGACAAAACGCTTTTCAACTAGGATAGGAAAGTAAGGAAGAGATCCATTTAATATTTATGTCAAGAAGATGAATATTTTCCAACTGTTTACCTCATTTTCATGCCACACAAAACCAGAAAACCGCAATATGTTACTCTTAACCAGCAAAGCCTGCAAGTCAAACAAACACACAATTGTCCTTCGGTCAAAAACAGAAACTCTTGAAATATTTCTTTTATGTGTAAAGCAAGTGAAGGGTCTAAATGGATATAATGGATAAATATATATATATATATATATATATATATATATATATATATACACACACCGGTCCTTAGTAGAATTTAGCAAAGCACAACTCAGAGACTTTTAGGATGAATATAAAGAAAATGTTGAAACTTTGATGGAAGATGCAATTCATACAGATCTAAACTATTTATAGACGCAGTACAGACTACAGACTCAAGTAAGTAACAAACAGATAATATACAGCACTGGTCATTTGCCTTATTCCCCACCAGCTCAACTAATGTAAAAGAAAATAACAACCATAAACATGGATTGGGGAATATGCCTACTGAGACCAACTTTAAAGTTTAAACACAAAACTGTATTCTCTGTTTGAAAGATTATTTCTTTCAGAAGAAATATATCAAGCGAAGCTCGTTTACCTTTCCTCTCCTACCAAATAAAACAGTGTGGAGCAGCTTAAGTGCATCATCTGACACCTTCTTCTTTGATAACTTGAAAGCAACTGAAAAGCAGAACACGGCTTAGACAGGAACAAAAAATAATTCACTTCACATTTCACAAAGACACCGAAACTTATCACCATCAACACTTTTCCATTACATATAGCATTTGCTAAGTCATGGCCATCAAACATCAAAGATTTACTGGAAACTAGGTAAGTAGTGATTCGTAGATTTATAGCAAACCAAACTAACATATGTCTAAAGCAGAAAAGAATGAACAACACTAAATAAATACAAAAGATAGCTTCAAGACTTTACCGTTAGGGATATCTTTCAGTGCAGTACCACGGCCCTGCATAC